TACATGTGAAATGTCCGGATGATACAAATCTTTAGAAGATCAAAATCATTAAAGTATTCCCTATATATGTAATAATAATATGGCAATAATATTACATAGTAGGTATGTTGAATGCCTTCATTGAATATCATATGATGGTATTAGTGTGAGTGATTATAAAAGTTATATCACTAGGGCATTAGCATAGATAAGCGGTTAGTGAACTGTATATCGAATATGGTAATTTATAATGAATCACATGGACATTTACAATGCAGTCAATGATACATCATAAGATCATACTAGTGTACTATTAATCCTTAGACCTGAGATATCACAGTTAGATTCTGCATAAACGTATATGGTTCATATGATGTATAAACATGAGGCTAATCATGTAATGTGTAAAAAAGCCGATTTGACCATGTGTTATTTATGTGTGAAGACAAATGATAGTCAATATGAGATCCGTTGACTTGGTATAGGTTGATATCAAGTTCTTAGACAAATGTCAAGATATATTGGAAAAGGGAAATCTCCGACCGGGGTATATAAAATGTTGCTGAAAGGTTGTTTCATGGTAACACGTTCCATATGTATTGATTGTCAATTTGATATAAGATTAAGACAAGGATTTTGACATACCATGAATCCATTCTTAATTGGGATTAGACAACGGAAAGATTTAATTACATAGCACGTATGATTATAAAAGGGTTCGTTGGAGTATATATTCATTGTGACTTAGGGGTTATGGAGCATTGTTAAATGTCTACCATAATCGATGAGAGTTTCGGTCATAAAGAGTTATGACGAAACATATCGGAACAAACTACGATATCATGCTATGGCTAAGCTACAGTGAACCTAAGAGGTCACACATAAAAACTAAGGAGAATGGAGAAATAGCTAAAGAGAGTTGATTATCCAAGGTTGGTTAGCATCTACCAAGGGTAATAAAGTTATTTATATTATTATTATTGAATTAGATTCAATGGAGGGTTATATTAGTAATTATGAATAATTTAAGAGTTAAATTGCTAATTGGAATTAAATGGAATTCCAATTCATAATTAATCATTTTCTTTATATTAAATTGATTTTAATAATGGGTTGTAATTGTAAACATATAAACAATTTAAGGGTTAAATTGTTATGTAAACAATTTAAGAGTTAAATTGTTAATTATGATTAAATGTTAATCTAATGTTATTATTTAAAGAAGTTTAATAACTTCATAATAATTATGGAATTATTTACAACTCTAAAACAATTATAGAATTGTTTAAGGAAGTCCAAAACAATTATTAAATTGTTTACAAGGCTACATATATAAAGAAAATGATATATCAATTTTAGTGTAGAGATCAAAAATTTCTAAGAACCCTAAATATCTCTCTTGGCCTAATTCTTCTTTGAGAAATGCTAGTCTTACAAAGACAAATACAAAAGGAGGCATACAAAGATAATTGTTACCCTTCATCTTTATGATTTCTCTCTCTCTCTCTCTCTCTCTCTCTCTCTCTCTCTCTCTCTCTCTCTCTCTCTCTCTCTCTCTCTCTCTCTCCTCTCTCTCTCTCTCTCTCTCTCTCTCTTTCCGCTTTTTCTTTGTTTTTTTCTTCTCTTTGTAGCCTTCTTTGTATAAGTCTTTGTAAGGATAACATTTTTCTTCTTCTTTTATCTTAGTGTGGATACTATTTTATTTAATTTCTCTTGAAATTAAAAGTCTCCAAGGTTGCTAAGAACTTAAGGTAACAAACTATAACTTAGTTGTTTTCAATTTGACTGAAATTTTTTGCAAAATACTAATATACATATTATAGTATCACATGCATCATTCTCCATGCATTCCAACTTTCAGGCCGCCCACGTCAGTTGCCGTAATGGTGCAGGATCGACTGGATTTGGCCGTTCGTGCATCAATAAGGCTTTTTTCCATGGCCGGAAATGGCAAGATCTGGCGTTTTCATGGTCGTTTCATGGCCAAAGATGTGGCTGTGAAACGGCCAAAGATTTGGCCTTTTCACAGCCACAGCTTTGGCCATGAAATGGCCATAGATCTGGCCATTTTCCAGCCATGGATTTGTGATCCATGGCCATTTCCGACTTTGTCGGTGCATGATCGGATATATACGGCCAGTCATGTGGCATTCCGTCTACTACCGGCGATGACCAGTAGTGGTGGCTAGTTGCTGACAGTGGCTTGGGGTGGATGGAAGTGATTTTGCTACAAATTAAAGTTTTATATGGCTGGAGTATTTTAGCAAAATTTCAAATGTAGGGGGTTAAAAGAAATTATTTTAAAAAAATAATAAAAAATACTATTATATTAATATTTAAAAGAAGGGCAATTTAGTAATTTATATAATATACCTACCCATTTATCCTCCTAACCAAACATGTAATTTAGCAATTTATTCGAACCAACCAAACACATTTTCAAAATATTTTTAGTAATCTTTAAGGTGATATTTCTTTCTATTAATATAATATAATCTATAATGAAATATTATATAATTCAAACTTCCCATAACACTAGATGTATAGACAAAAGAATATTATATGATGACATTTTTCATAATTAAAATTTTATTTATTTTTTGCAATGTACATATATATTATCTAATATTATCGTCATCACTAAAAGTAGATAATAATACTTCAATAATGTTAAGGGCCTGGCAAGTTGACCATCCAGTAAAATTTTGCCACCACAAATCTTAACTCTCCCAGCCGATCTCGTAGGATATGAATCGTACTCTTCTATCCAACAAGAATAAAAAAATGACTAGAAGCGGGGTGTCAGGACACGTATCTTTCGGAGGAGGGAGCTTACTTTTTCATTTAGAGTTTAGAGGGTGAGTTTATTATCCCCCTCTATTCAATTCGCCACGTAACATCCAAAATGAATGATTGTGTAGAAAGTAATCAGGTAAGGCAACTTCTTCTCTGCTTCCCGTACGGATAATGTCCCCAACCACTCCACCTTCGCCTCGTGGCAAATTTAAAAAAGTTAAACTTCTTGTTCTTCCCTGATATTTGGTGTAATTACATAAACACCTTATTTAGTTTGGAAATTTTCATCTGCTACCCCCTATAATTTGTTAGGTGGATGTCCCTGATAGAGTAATGGTTGGCAAAAATTAGAGAAACTCTTCTTAAGGTCAATGATAGGTGCAAGAAATGTGATCTATAATTCTCAAATTATAGGGATTATATATGGAAAGACATAAAAAATTATGAATCTTCAATAATTCTATCAATGTTCAAATTAGTTATTTTTAATTCTTACATATTTTTTGTATTTTTACTATTATATTTAACAATAATTAACAATTTTTTAGACTTTTCATCATATTTTAAATTTTAAAAAATTATTTCTAAAATAAATTATCCCCTAATGCATTATAATAAGCTTTCATAAAATGATCCTCTATTTATCTCACACTGTAACTAGTTAAATTACAAAACAGACATAATGTGCGACATGGAGCTACAGGTGATAATTTCTCAACTACTTCTAACATGAACGAATTTAAGCAGCGCACGTACCTCGAGGCTCCACTAAATTAAAAAAGACTTCCATATTTGGACCAAACTACCCCTCACCTTCTCTTGCCTTTTTTTCCTTAACCACCTTTACTACTTCGAGTACTTTCTTCTTTACCTTAAACTAATTCCCTTTCTTTATCTATTATCATCCAACTCTATTTCTTTAATATTAAAGTCAAACAAATTTGATTCATTTCAATAATTTAATTGGATTATGTTTGAAAAAATTATTTAATAACTTTCACTACTAATAATAATCGATCTTACAATAATAGGATCTATGTCTAAAAATAAATCATTTATGTATCATAATTAAAATACCTATAAAATGAATGAGTGATATCATTTAAGAGTAGTTTTTTTAATAAAGACATCCTGATATATAGAGATGGACGCCAGTTGGGTCGGGGCCGGGGAATGAGTCCCTTGTACCCGTACTCGACTGTTGGGGAAATACTCATACCCTACTTGTACCAGAGTTGGGGGTGTTAGGGAATCTCCATCCCATACCCGCCCTTGCTTGGGTGATACTACTCGCAGGGATATAACCATCTTCGAACTCGACCTGCTCCTACACCCAGTGAATACTCTTCTCCTCATACCTGACCCTATCCCTAAAAATTTTGGGGAATCCCTGACCCGCCAAGTAAAACACCTATCTCTACTAATATAAATTTTGTCAAGACCATCCTTAATCACCTTGTCACATTCATTTCATAAGACTACAATGATATTTTACAATTTAGATCCAATGATATATCTACATAATCTTAACAAAATTATATCACAATCCTAACTAGAGAATTACCATATCATTTAAAGTTCATGTTTTAAAATTTTTGTTCAAATACTTTAAAAAAAAAAAAGTATTTTGATGTCCTTTTAATATAAAGAAATATATGTTAAATGATAAAAATGTTTGTTTTTTTTTTATTATTTTTATTTCAAACGAAACTTATATTATTTTTATTTGAGTTTAAAATAAAATTTTTATTTGAATGATAATACTCCAAAATTAATTATATCATCAATAATTATATTTATCTTTTATTTTTTTTCCTGAAAAATTAAAAATATTTAACTTCTAAGGTCGTAGTATACTTATCATATTTTCTCGTTTAATTATTAATTTTTACTCATCAATTACTTTCAACAACAAAATTTATAAAGTAATCAATAAAAGTAATTTTTTGTCTGTTACATGTACAAAATTGGCTATAATCTCTCAACATTAAAAATAGAACTATTTTGATGAAAAAAATTAGATAAAGTACAAGTACAAAATTGGATATAATTAAATAAAATATTCTAAAAATAAAGAAATACTATAAATTTAGTTTTGACAAAATTAGCAATAACATCTTTTTCTTGCAAGGGTAACCCCGTAATTTCGCGACCATCAGACCTGCCAGCGTGGCTTTTGAAGACAAACAGAGATATCACCGCAACAAAGGAAAAAAATCAAATAAGATAAACAAAGAGAAAACACAAAGACTTTCCTCAGACCACAGATCAATCAATCAATCAATAATCAATCACCACCACCTCACGTCGTTAAATCCTCTTTAACGGCAGCACTGCCGTTCTCCTCCACCTCCTCATCCGCCGTTGCTGTCAGCTTCCCTCCTCCGGCGAGAACGGAAACTCTCGCCGGAGAATTATTTCTTTTGTTTTGGTTTGGTTGACGTGAAATGTAGGAAAGAATCTAATCAAATTCAAAACGGTGCGTACAAGGCACAGACAGATGATGCCTTGTTTCTTCAATCAAATTTCCTTGCCTTAAGCCGTAATTTATTCCATTTTATTGTAAATTAAATTAAATATCTCCCTCCACCTTCTTGTTTAAATTCCTCATCATTTCTCTCCTTCTCTCTGTTCGCTTTTCAATTCAAAGTCCTGCCTCTAATTTTTTATTTGTTTAATTTGTTATTATTAAATGCGAGATCTTAGATTAATTCAACCAATTCAAACACATTTGTAATAATTATCAACTTAGCTCAGTACGGCGCGCTGTTGTGCCGTTTTGCAAATTTGATCATGCCTTCTGAAGAGCTGCAGGGTTTAGCAGAAGAGGTGAGTTGTCTTTAATTTTAATTTCTTATTACTTTATTTGTAATTTTAATTCTGTTTATAATTTCGGTTTGTTATGTTTTGTTCAGAGGCAGGTCGGTTTTTGGAAGTCAAACACGTTGCCTGGACATTATGGTTAGTAATTCTAATTTATTTTTCCTTTTTTTTTTTTTTTTAAATTTAAAATTATGGAAATTCCGGTACTTTTTCAGCCTTGCAGGGACCGTGGATTTAAATTGATCCTCTTAGTAAAAACATACATTTGTTATACATGTAGAATTTAAATAAGGCCTGTATTTAACATGACTATTAAAAGTGATGGCGAGTTTGCCATTTGGAATTTCTTGTATGGGATTTGTGGTGTTGTTACTGTTTTGAGTTACATGGTCAAAGAGGACATGGGACCTATTTTCAGGTTATGTTAGAATTTCAGTTAATGATTTGGAAGCCGAATATGATTAAACAGAATCGAAAAATTTTGTAACACTAAATTTATGTGGACGGTGTTATGTTTGTGGTACGTTTGACTGAAAATTGCACATTCAATTTTGTGAACATAATTTCATACTTGGTGTTTGGAGTCAGAGAAGGTAGTATTTGGTGAATGATTTTATTTCTATGTCATTTTTGGAAAAGAAGAATGATTGAATAGTCTCTCTTACTAGTGCTACAAATTCTAAAGTAATATTCAAAGTTTTCCATCTCAAATGGTATGTCATCGTATGTGTTAATCTATATCATTAATCATATTAGCCCGTCATTTGCACATCATTGTCATACTGGAAGAAATATCACTTGGAATATTACTTGGATATATAGAATTAATGTTTTTCTCTTTTCTCTGAGGTTTTTTTTAAGTTAAATCAATTGTTTGGAAGAAAAGATGCAGAGTGCTGTGTGTATGTATGTATTAATGATCTTTGTCTTTTTGAAAAGTGCTAGTTAAGAATTAAAGTTCTTAGTAATTTGCATTTGACCATAATAAATTTTAGGCATTGCTTGTCGACTTTTAAATTTTGTTTTTCTATTTAGGGAAGATCTGTAGTTCGTGCATTGAAAGTGCTTCAATGTCGAACTTTAGATATTTAAATAATAGATGACTACGACTGGTTCTTGAATTGATATCATAGCTGTGGAAATGTAGCCCTTTCATTATATTGAGTTGTGCTTCTATTGAGGAGTGAAATCTGATATAATGTGACCAACAGCCAGCAGGAAGTCAATTGCTTCATCTCCTCTAGAGAAACATATTGCTGTGGAATTTCGGACCATGAATTCTCTGGAACATCCTGAGTCTTTCCTGATGCGAGACCCGAAAGCAAATCTTTGCATAGATCGGTATGCAGTGGGAGCAGAGAGAGCTGCCAAGCAGTCTATGACATTATTGAGATCTGTAGACCATGAGCCAGGGACCAGATCTAGTTTGAATGTACAGCAGGCATCCTCTTTTGGAGAAGGTGACAAAGTAAATAAAATGGCTGCGCAATATGAGAGCAGTCTCTTCTCGAGCTCATTATCAGAGTTATTTAGTAGGAAAAGTAAGTCTTCTTCCCCTTTTAATGTTTCTTGATATATAGATTTTACTTACTGTTGTTATATCATGTGCTTATTTTTAGTTATAGCTCGTATTATCTAGATACAGTTTATGGGTAAATTTTTTTCAGGAAATTGCATGCTGTTCTAGTATAGATAACCCTGTTTCATGTGAATTTTCTTGTTGCAGTGAGACTGTCTTCAAACATTGCACCACATGGTTATTCAGTTGACACTGTAGCCTCACATTATGAGGAAGAGGGACCCTATGAATCTCTTGAAGAAGTTGAGGCCCAAACTATTGGAAATCTTCTTCCCAACGATGATGACTTATTTTCTGGAGTGACTGATGGGATTGACTACATTATCCAACCCAGTAGTGGAGATGATATGGATGAGGTGGACTTTTTTGACAGTGTTGGAGGGATGGATTTGGGGGATGATGGTTCTTTTGCAGTGGAAGAAAATTCTGAAATTTCTGCTGGTGAGCTTGAGGTTTGTAATGGTGGAATAGCCGTGGATCACCTTTATGGTGAATACTCTTCTAGAACACTGTTTGTGAGAAACATAAATAGCAATGTTGAAGATTCCGAGTTAAAGACCCTTTTTGAGGTCTGTGCCTCTTTGTCTTTTTGGGTGTTACCATTTGTACTTCATGCTTGTTTTCAAAATTGAGTGATGACACAGTTGTTGTCATTTGTTTGAATATGCAGCAATATGGGGATATCCACACTCTTTATATGGCCTGCAAGCATCGTGGTTTTGTTATGATTTCCTATTATGATATTAGAGCTGCTCGAAATGCAATGAAAGCTCTGCAGAATAAACTGATGAGGCGTAGGAAACTCAACATTCATTATTCAAGTCCAAAGGTAAGCTTCATGTATAATTGTACCTTTCTTGGTAGCTTTTATGAGAATGCCAGCCATATTGTTTGGATTATCATTGATATGTGTGCATTTTGTCCTAATTTTGACTGGTAATCCATATTTCTATGTCACGTGTATAAATATTGATCTGTGACACCATGAATTGTTGGTTTATTCTTATCAGGACAACCCTTTAGAAAAAGATATAAACCAGGGTACTCTTGTGGTATTTAACCTTGATGCTTCTGTTTCAAATGATGAACTTCGTCAGATCTTTGGTGTATATGGAGAAATCAAGGAGGTTAGCTTGTGTTTCAGTTTTTTGGTCGTCTGATTGAATAAGAATGCAGCGTTAACTCATTCTCACTCTGTGCTACAGATCCGTGAAACCACTGAAAAGGGTCATCAGAAATTTATTGAATTTTATGATATTAGAGCTGCAGAGGCTTCTCTTCAAGGTTTGAACAGGAGTGATATTGCTGGGAAGGGAATTAAGGTTGAGCCAAGTCATCCTGGGGGTTCAAATCTGTGGTATTACCTAAGCATATTTACTTGTCTTTATATCCATTTTCACATAAACCCAGTATATCTTTAAAAATGACTGTCAAACTGCGGTGTCTACGGGCAAAATATAAATTCTTTTAACTCAGAAAAGTTTGGAGAATCAGTTTGAAGCAGAATATCTGCCATATAGATTCATACACACATTTATATGTGCCATCATTTATTTATCTCAGTATGTCAACGTTAATTGTTTGATAACTGCTTTCTAATTTGTTAATTGTTTCTTTAATCTGTCACTAAATTTCCTTACTTTTGATATAGTTCGGCACAGCAGTGTGCTTCTGAGCTGGAGCAAGATGGGTTTGGCCATTTACTGCAGCAGAGTAGCCCTCCTAATAATTTAACCAAGTTTTCTGGTATGATCATTGCCATTAAAAGGACATTCCTTGTAAATTTCAAATCAGAAGCAATTATATATTTATGTTCCTCACAATCTTTTTTTTATCAGGGGCTATATTGCATGGCTCAATGTCATCTAGGAGCACAGATAAAGGAATTGGTTCAGATTTACACTCTGCTAGAAAAGTCTCATTTCTCAAATCTGTTCATCCAGGTATATCTTCAAGTGTTCCTAACACTTTGCCCTCTTTGGTGAGAGTGGAACCAGTTGTCCCTCAATCTGGCCTTGCCGAGTCTGGTCACTCACTGAGTCCTTTAAAATTTGGTGTCCAAACCACATCAAGTTTTCATCCTCATTCACTTCCGGAGTATCATGATGCTTTAGCAAGTGGTGTTCAGTGCAATTCTCCTGGTCCCATTTCTGCAAATGTCAATATTAAACCACCAGAAATAATTGACAACCGCCAGTTCAGCAGAGTTGGCTCAAATGGACACTCCATTGGGTTTGGTGAAAAAGGTAAGTGCCATGGGATCACTTGGTACTATTTTTATCTATGTTTATGTTTCTTGGTTTGGTTTGTGAATCCATTAAGTACAACTATTGGTATATACAAGATTCTATGGAGACCCAAAATCATGTAAAAACAATCAAGAATAGTGGTTAATTTGTGAATTGTGACAGCTAAAATGTCTTAGCATTATTGATTTGAAATTGTGGAAAGATATCTGAATGGTTGATATTAGCTTTAGATGCTTTATTGTAATTATTCTTTTTTGGAATTCGTTTGGCCTAAATGTCTTACCTGTGGGTCAAGCGGTATATCTGATTAGGTGCTGCATATGATACCCTATTTTGTTGCTGAACACATTGTGTAATATTTGATGTATTAGTATCTGAAGTTAAGCGGTCATCTAATGTTCTTTTGTTTTACTAGCTTTATATTGAATTGACTCTTTGTAATATTTGTCATTTTGGAACTGCATGTATCAAATGATTTTTTTCATTTTTGTTCTTTTACTCAGTTTTTGGGTCTGCTGGTGGTGGGAGCGGTTCTCTTCTTGCACATAATTATACTTGGAGTAACTCATATCATCCCCAGCCTCCAGGCATGATGTGGCCAAATTCACCATCAATGGTCAATGGAATTTGTAATGCTTATTCGCCAGTACGACTGCATGGACCTCCAAGATCACCATCACATATGGTGAACACAGTTTTACCGATTGGTAACCACCATGTAGGTTCAGCGCCAGCTGTTGATCCTTCTCTATGGGATAGGCGACATGCATATGCAGCAGAATCTCCTGAGGTTTCTGGTTTCCATCCAGGTTCCCTTGGGAGTATGAGAATTCCTAATAACTCATTGCACCCTATGGAATATGCCTCTCATATCATTTTTCCTAATGTCGGTGGAAATTTTATGGAAATGGCTATTTCCTCAAAAAATTTAGGGTTTCAATCCCATCAACAGAGGTCCATGATGTTTGGTGGCAGAGGACAAGTGGTTCCTATGATGAATTCATTTGATCTTCCTACTGAACGTGCTAGAAGCCGTAGAAATGAAGGCAGTGTAAATCAGGCTAACAAGAAACAGTACGAACTTGATATAGAACGCATATTGCAAGGGGAAGACACCCGAACGACACTCATGATAAAGAACATTCCTAACAAGTACGTGGCTTCTCTTTTCATTTCTGTAGCAGCAATTCCTTTAGTCTCTAGGATTAGTAGCTTTAACATTATTTTTGTATGAAATTTACTTGGCATAAGTAAGCTGGCAGATAATTTAGGGAACCTCCACCTCCAGTAAAACATGATAGTTTTAAAAAAAATGATATCGGATAGGCTGGAAGTCAATAACTACACTGAAGAGTTGCCCTTTCTCCTGTTGTTGAAAACAAGTTGATGGATAAATGACTGAATACTTGTAACCAAAAGAGGAGAAGAGGCATATAATTTTGCAAACTAAAGTTTTGCTTATTGTTCAATTTGTTGAATTTGCTGACTTGATGGATGAAGAACTTAGTGCTAGCGATAGGGAGAAAAATCAGCATATGGACTTCCATCGGCACAAGAATGTGCTCTAGTACATCCTTACACATGAGCTTGTACATGTTATAGTGTTAGCACCAGCACTAGACTTGGTTGTTTTGGATCTGTGGCATAAGCATTGATGTATTGTCACAATTACTTCAATCTGTTTATTTATTGGGCTTATTTCTAGGGGCAGTGCACTAATTTCCTTGTTGCAAATTTGTGTAACTCTAAAGGTCCTCCTGCTTTGAGAGGCGTGCTAATTTTCTTCTAGTTGTGGCAACAACTGGATTGGTTGGTTGTTAATTTGGCTGGCCTGAAGCCCAATAAAAAAGTTTCATGTGATATGGGAATTAGATCGAGTTTGAGCTAATNAAAAAAAAAAAAAAAAAAAAAAAAAATTAAGAGGCTGATGTTAACATCAGAACACAAACAACAAACTTATAATTTTAAGAGGCTGATGTTAACATCAGAAAATTCAGAACGCAAACAGCAAACTTAAAACTTTACTCTAATTGCTGATTATACTCATAAAATGTAGAACATGTTTTCAATAAAATCCCACCCAATTTCTCTTCCTAAAATTCATAGTTCAATTTACCAATCAAACTTAAAACTCTACCACTAATTCTACATAAAACTCAACCTAATTGCACAACGTAAGCCCATAAAACATCTATACACTACTCAAAATTCAAACATCTTCATTTCTAATCTGCTCCCTAAATGACCTTAAGAAATTAGAAATTCAATTACTGATATGAAGTCGGTAACAGTTCTCAATTGAACAGTTTCCGATGATCTACACGAAATAAAAAAAGTAAACAAACCATTAAAAATACTAGAGTTCGATCATAGCATGTTTTAATTTAAATTTCTAGCTAAAGAGCTGTTAATAGAAATGGAAAATAAAGAATAATAATAATAATACCTTTTGGGAGTGAACCATGACGGATTTGGAGAGGAGTCTTTAGATAAAGTCGTGGCCATTTGAGAGAGGAGTTGTGATTCTTGTTGTGAGGGATTGTTTGGAAGATGTTGTCCGTCCTCTGCAAGTTTATGACTTGCGTTACTTGACATTGACGGGTGATTTTTTTTTTTTTTAATTTCTTTGTAATTTTTGTTTTTTTGTAATTTTTTTGGTTTGTTTCAATGTGAATGTCGTAGCCTGTTACGCAATCATCGTCCCGAGTCCCGAGTTCACCAACCCACGCTGGATATTCGTATTCTCACTTTGTTATTTTCTATTGCAATTATTTTTCTTGCTTTCGCTTTTCTTTTCTATTTTTGTTGGGTTGTTTTTGTTTTTATGCTATGAGTATTGAAGTCGTTAAAGCGATCTAAAACAATATTACACGTTCCAAGCTGTTATTCTTTATCTAAAAAGCAATCCTCACCAACCATTTATGAAAATGTCATTTCTTTTTTTTAATACTATATTTATAATCTATTCTCACAAACTTTCTCTCACAATTCTAATATAATAGTTTATAATTAATCAACTCATAATAGGTCTTGTCTATCTAATAATAGGTTTCGTCAGTTCAATAATGGGTCTTATCTACTTAATGACGAACTGATCAATTATGAACTATCATGTTAAGATTATATTGTGACTTATGAGCCAATCTTTATTGTTTATTTTTTTAGACAAAAATAATTTTATAGGACTTTGGTAGGTAGAATTTATATAAATAGAAACTAGAGATTTTATCAAACAATCGTTAATCTTTGTTTTTCAATTAAAATGATAATTCTATTAAGTCAATAGATTCGTAAAGAATATATTGTCTTGAATTTTATGTACTTTTAATAATAAATTAAAATTTTATTATCCATAAATAGTAAAAAATAGTTTATAAAATAATATGAGTTTATTTGTCATAATTCACTACGTAAAAGAACCTCTAAACGAGCTCTTCTTTCACAAAAGTTCATCTTAAATTGAGTTTATTTAATTTTTTTTTTCTTAAATTCATTACTTCCCACCAAATATTTAGGCTTTAATCAAACCTGGCCATGTGTCCAAAATATATGTGAAAAGAGACTTGCTTAGTTACAGAAATCTCTCATAATTAAGGTACATAATTATTCAAATAAAAGATAACAATCTCAACAAAGGAAAATATAGGATCCGTATAGTTTGTTATTTTAGATAGGATTTTGAAAATAATATTAGATAATTAAATAGGGTGATTATTACGAGGTAAAATTTAAAAATTAACAAAAAAACTCCCTAGGTTTGCTAATTTAAATAAACACCCCAATATATAAAAATTTTGTAAAATAACAAAAAACACCCCCACCCACCCACAGTGCTAGATTCCGGCCACCACCACCGGAATTTGGTCGGAATCTGGCGTTATGATGCAGACCGGTCGGATCTGGCCGGATGTGCATCGATCTGGCCGTCAACGGTCGCAAAAGGCTAGATCTGGCCGTCGTTGACCGTCAATGATGGCCATTTCTTTGATCGTCATTGACGAACAGATTTGGCCTTTTCCGACAGATCCACTATGGATCTAGTCGGAAAAGGCCAGATCAGCAAATTACTGGCCAATTTCAATCGTTTGCAGGCCGTTGTGACAGATTCTGGCTACCACCGACGATGGTTGCCAAAATCTGGCAACTATGGGTGGGTGGGGGTGTTTTTATTAATTTTTAAACTTTTTTTCTAGGGTGTTTAATGAAATTAATAAACTTAAGGGGTCTAAAAGTAATTAAAAAATATATAATAGTATTTCCTAAATAATTAAACAAACAGTTATTTTGGGAATAGGGTATGAAATAATAAACCAAACGGACCCATAAATACTCAAATATCTCTATGTTTGTTTTGTTATTTTGGATAGGATTTTTTAAATAGTTTTGAGACGTTGAGTTGGGTTATTATTACGAGAATAAGATTTGAATAAAATGTGTTTGGTAGAGTATTTTGACCTTGTTATTTGTGTTGAATAAATTGTTGAATATTTGTTTAATATATTTTTTATAGATGATTTATTAATATAATATTTTGGTGCATTTTGTTAAAATAATTTATTATTATAACCTAAAAACTTATCAATTTACATTTTAATAATATTAAACATTTGATTAATAATTTCGTAACCACTAAATATTAAAAAAAAAAAAAAAAACTCATATTAATTTCAAGTACTAATCCAACTGTTTAAAAACACCGCATTAATACATATATGACAAAACTACTAATTATCAACCTTTAGAATCATTTGTGCACATATACTCCATTAACAATTACGACATGATCATATGTGTTGCCCACAGTTCAGTCGTTATGTTATCTCGTACAGTCGTCATGTCGTCTATAATACCTTGCTGCGATTGACTCAATCCCTCTCTATTTCCACCATCTTCTACCCCGTTTTGGCCATCAAAATATACTTGCTCATTGCAGCGGTGGTTGGTGTTTGGAAGAAGAGGGACTGAAGAAATAAAGAAGAAGACAAAAGAAATAAAGAAGAAATAAGGGCAGATGGCAGATGGCAGGTGGAAGAGAGACTTGTCACGGTGGTTAAGGGAGAGAGACTGAAGAAATAAAGAGGAAGAAGAAGAAAGGAATAAAGGAAGAAAGAAGTAAAAATAAAAAAAATTACAGATGTAGACCCCACCAATATAACAGTCAAATATGGCACGAGTAGTATTTATTGAATACAACTTTTTAAGTAATAAAACAAACACATATTTCAAAAATTGTATCCCAAATATTGATAGAAATAGTAACCCAAACGCACCATTCCTACTACAATTTGAAATTGAATTGTTGATCTCTTAGGCAGTGTTCTGAAGATCGAACCGTCCGGTCAGACCAGTTTGACCGGGAGCCGATGAAATTTTCGGTCCGGTGTCCTCTAAAAACTGGTATTTTTAATCAAACCGGATTGAGCTGTAGTTGGACAGTCGGAATAGTGCCGAATCTCGGTCCAATCATAACTCAATCTCGCCGAATTCCGGCATCATTCGAGGGAGAAAACACCACCATTAGACTTGACAGCATCTCCATGACAAAACCCATCCATTTTTAGTGGCCATCATCCAGCCTTTCGTCGCTCGCCGTCCACCTATAGTTCATGCGATCGTCGCACCTCCTTCTTGATTCCGACAAATTCCGACGCCGGTAGAACTCCGTAACACCACTATAAGATTCGTTGGCACTTATACATCAAAAGCCCCATGATTCCAAACTTTGATTAGTCGTCGATCATCGCTGCCGCCACCACTCACCAATCTTTTCACATGACAGGGGTGTTTTGGATAGATTTCAAACCTTAAGGGAGTATTATTAGGGGTGTTTTTGATGAATTTCAAACATTTAGGGACTAATAGTAATTTTACAGGATACGATCGAATCGACCGATCCAACCGGTCAAACCAAAAATCGGACCCTTGAACGGGTTATAGTTCTGTCCGGTTTTCGAAACATTGCTCTCAGGGGAAAATGGAAGACACTTTTCAAACCAATTTCGACAACTTGACTTAGTAAGTTGTCCTCTTCCAATTCCAATCCATCACAACCACAAAATCTCATCATTGCCCAACAAAGTTCTTCATCTATCATCAATAAGAAAGAGAAATTCAAATTGAGTTAGAGTCACAATTAAGTGGAGAAAGAGAAACTCGAATTGAATAAGAGGAAAAAGTTTATCAATCTTGTCAAATAGTTGAATTCACTTCAATTCATGATTTCTTCCTTTGCTAATCAATTATGTTTTC